ATTCGATTTCCAGCATCCAGCGTGTACAGAGAATGCATGCGTGATTTTATACGCGTATGCACGCCCGTCTACGAATCGCCCGCAGGGCGTATTCGAGTACACGCTTACCCACGCACTCGCATCCCTTTGCCATTGTCGATCGATAAGGGTCGCTCTCACGTTTGCACATTTGCACGCGTCGCACTTGCAGCTTCCGCACACCCACACACACACACACACACATATATATATATACAGACGCGCGGACACATCTATATACGCATGTCAGACTGGAAATACGTACTGCAAGGTGCGAGGCGCAGTCTGCGGCAGCCCTATCCACAAATTGGTGGCCGATCGAGCCACTAATTACTGGGATCGAACGTGTTTTAAAAGCTGGACGGTTACGATCGATTTACGGGACCGCCCGAGGCGGAAAGAAAGCCGGTTTGTACCAGGCTCTCCTCTCGTAATCCTGCACGGATCATCGCCGTCTGGTCTATTCGTCTGATCGGCCGTTTCAGCACGGCGGTCACGCGTGCGATTTGGACCGCGCGAATAAACGATGTGTTATATATCCGGTTAGAATTTTGATACGAAAAGAACGAGAGAAACTGGCCGTATCATTTTTGAGAGTTGAATATTTTTGGAATATATAATAATAACGGTTTGGGAATATTTTTGCAAAGTATTTGATATATTAGATTTATCATTAGTGCTTTTTTTATCTTTATATTCTGTGCCCAATCTTGAATTAATTTTGAGTCCGTAGTATAAGGAACTGATGGTAAATTATACTTTTTTTCTCCTATATTTACATCTCGGCAATAAATAAAGATTTTTTTTAATATTATTTTAATATTATTTTTTAATATTTTCGATCAAGCGAGAATCTTGAAATACTTTTAAAAGACTACATATATATGATGTTATCTACAATTAGATTAATTTTAGAGACCGAAAATTTGGCTATTTCGCTGAAACTCATGTTACGAGATTACTTCGTAACATTTCTAGTAGATAAGCCAAGACATGTGCAGACGCGCAAGTAGATAAGCCACCGCTGGTGGTCGGACCGGAACGAGACGAGGTTTCAGACGGTAGGAAGAGTTCAAATAGCAGCCATTGGCTCGTTGCAATTTAATTGTCCGCTAACGATCAGCTTACTCGGAAAGTTCCGGTCTGGAAAAGCGGTCGCAAACGGTGGAAACAGTGTGTACGTGCCGCAAAAGGGGCGGCCTAATAACATATGCGTTAATGAGAAGTATATTTTCTCGTCTACATCTCTCTCTCTCTCTCCCTCTTTCTCTATCTCTCTTTGTTTCTCTCTCTCTCTCTCTCTCTTTCTTTCTTTCTCTTTTTGTCTATCTCTCCTTCTCTTTCTTTCCCTCTCTATGCTGCTATAAAGAGCATTTCCAGCAACTAGTCACAGTCGGATGCGTGCGAAATTACATTGCCATGCCGCGCGCTAAATTGTCCCGTAATCTTGAAACTAACGTTTCAACGGTCAACAGCTTGCACCGCCAGCTAGCACTTAACGGCCATATTTAATAACTAACGGAGGGACTCGGCCGAGTCACTCCGCGAAAGTTTGTCTCGACGCTTTGTCGCCGTTGTTCACGCCAAGGTGCAAGACGATTCAGTGTATTCTCTGGAACACGTGCTTACAGCGCAATGCTAAAATTATAATCTTCTAAAAGAACAATTAAAATTGAAAAATATTGAAAAATCGTACGATTGACGAAATACCGATATGCACGAAATATCATTATTATTTCATCATGGATATTTCGCATTATGATTTTTAGCAATGAATCATGAAAAACAATTAAAAACTCCCGTATAGGTCATCACGCGCGATTCGACGTAGCGTCGAATTGAAACGCTTTGCTTTCACATTCGCCGATGCAATTAATTCTTCTCGCCGGCGCATAAATCGAGCCGCGACTTGTATGAATAACATCGGCCGCCGATGCGCCGGGCGGTCCGCTTTTGTCTCGCAAGATCAACGACGCTATATCCGCGCGGCCGAACACATCCCGCGCCCGCAACGAATTATCGTGAAAAACCAGCGCGTGTCGAGGGCGATAAATCGAAGGGGGGGGGCGTCGGTCGCGCACCATCGATCTTCGTCAGAACGACGCGCGGGGCCCATACAGCGAGGGAAAAGCGGACGGGCGTGCCAGGAGTCGGTCAGGTTAACCAGAAAATTGCAAGGCACACACAAAACTCGACTGCACAATGGAATCTTAATTCCGCGAGAGCAGTGGAGTTGAATTCACTTCGGCCTTACTCCCCTACCCTCTACGTCTTCGCTCGCCCTCGTCATTTCCCTCCCTCTTTCTCTCTCGTCTCTCGCGCGTCTTATTCTCTCTCCTTCCGTAATTAGGAAGCAAACAGAGCGGCGGTCTTGCCAAGTTGGCGGAGTCGGAGATGAAACAGCAGTTTCCGTCCTTCCCATCCTTCTTCCGCCTGCGCCGTAGCACCCCACGGGAGTCTACGGTCCCCTTTTCCTCCTTTGCCCGCTCGTTCCCTTCCCACAGCTATAAGCCGTGTACCGACTCTCCATCCCAAACCAGCCATCACATTTTCCGGTGTGTCGACGGGCCACCTGACTCTCCTCTTCGACTCGGCACGATTATGTGGAGAGAGCAGGCCGCAAAAGGCGGACAGTATAATTCACTGCCAAACGCAGGCCGCCGCTACCGCGCGTTATTTCGTCTTCTTTTCCTCGTCTTCTGTTCTTTTTACGACGCGCCGCAATATCCCTCCGAGAATAAAAGACAGAGGAGGAGGATATCGGCAAACCCGATACCGAGAGATGGAGAGTAAGTTCGTCTTACATCGTCGTCATTTCGCGATCCTTCAGTTCCTTTTTACGATGTAATTATCTCGCGCGTGTCGATTGCCATCGCTTTTCAAACGCTCGGATATCTTCGTAGCGATCGAAATGTCGGGAATTTATAGCGACATCAGTTAATGACCCGATGTCGTGCTATCGAGTCATGGATCCACGCTGTTTTCATGCGTACATTGCGATAACGAAGGTTCTCCGTGTAAGAAATGAATTCTTGTGGCTATATAATTTTAAATTGTTTCAAATCTTAATGACGAAATTAAATTGCAATCTAATGGAAAGATATTTTGTTAGTTTAGTTTTGTTTATCTCTAGTTGATTTTTTTCTTAGCTAGTTTTTCTTTTCTTTTTAACTTTATGATTATTTTGCTCTATTATAAGGACAATTGTGAGATCTGAAGAATGGCCAGCTTTGCTTGAAAAAACTGTACAATATCTATCGGCAGTAGAATGCATCGCTGCTGAGATATATGCAATGAAAGCTACTACGCTATCGCGAGGGTTAAACATCGACGCGTTTAAGAGAGATGTATGCGCGTGCGCTCGTGTCGCATACACATTCATCCTGATTCGGAAATACAGGAAGGTCGGCTCATTCTAATTCCATAGAGTATTCCCGGAGAAGGGCGAGGAAAATGGATTACGTTCGACTCCGACGCTGCAACCGGTTCTTTATTCAAAATAATACGAAGCACATAATTATCGCTATTGTTCCCAAAGTGCAAGACGCGCAAGACTCAGGAAATCGCTATTTTGATACGCCCGATATACATTTTTTTCTTTTTTTTTTTAATTGAAGAGAACGCGCAGAAAATGAGAAGTGATATCTTTCTTTCTCTCTCTCGTTTTACAAATCGCGAACAGCGCGATAATTTTTATACGATAATTGCATACCGTTAAAAGTCGACGCAATCGCGCATTCGCGAGAAGATCGAAATTTATCTCGCAACAAAGAAAGAAATAAGAACGCGCCAGCGTGTTCGAGAGATAAATGGTAACAGGTGGTATTCGAGTGTGCCGCGTAATAAGTTTTCGCGTGGACTAAATGCGAACCTATACCGTCCGGTTTTTACGGCCCGCCATTTTTCATTGCCCCGCTTTTCCTCTTTTTCAGCAATTGCCAAAGTCTCGAAATAAAATGCGACGACGAGAATTACTGCTTCCTCGCACAGACTGCATCGACGTTTTCGTTAAACTACATATATTTCTTTATTTTATATTGCATTCTATATATTTATGTTTATCTCCATTTTCTTTTTTTGTCTCTCTAGAGATCTGCAACAGAATTATATAATAATCCAATTTTCGATAAGAAAATGCTTCCGTTATAATAAAATTATTTTGAACAGTTTTATTAACATAGAATATAATTTGTCCGATTGCACACAATTTTTATCATTTAACCTTTCTGAGAAAACCGCGGTAAGAAACGTCTAAATGTGGAGGTGAAATCTGTTTAAAAACTTGAGGCTGTCCCTTATTTCAGGCTGAGAGTTCTCCATATTCCGTGATCTCCCTTATCGTCCTTGCGGTTTGCGAGAGATCATGGCAATTTTACTTGAGCGACAAAGCGCTTATTCCAATTTAGGGCCTAGAAAAGTTAGTCCCCTCTCTCCGTGAAAGGACTTTTTTAATTAAAGTCAGAAATAAAGGTGTCGAGAAAACGAAATGCCACATCTAAAGTTTCCGCCAGGTCAGGATTTGCTCCAACGTAATCTTTTCGGCTCATGAAATTATTCTCCATAATTTAACCAAACGTCGCTCGCCCAACTTTACGTTATTCGCTTTCGTATATATTTTACACAAGTACATATTATTAGCGTATATTATCCTGGATTGTCTAATTTGAAAATGTTATTTAATTATTTTACAAAGCTTAAAAAAGAATTCATAAAAAATGAGAGTTTTCTTTTCTAGAAAAAACAATTTTTTTCTAGAAAACGCATTACAGGAAAAGGAAATACTTAAATATAGATATATAATAAATAATTTACACATTTCAAAATGCACAAGAGATTGTTCAGACAACGAGAAAAAAACATTATAAGACACATTGCTAAGTCAGGGATTAAATTCTTTGGGCGAAAATCAGCGATTTAACTTTCTCTTTCTCTCTTTTTAAATACATTATGACGCTCATGATCCTTATCATTTGTCTTTGCAGAGGCTTACGTAAATCTGGGAGCCGCGCTGATTTCGGTCGGTCGCGGCACGGAGGCGGCTGCGGTTTTGCGCGCCGGTGCATCCTTGGACGGCTCCGGTCTGAAGGACAAAAGGGCTCACGAGGCGGCCAGGGTGCAGGCCCTCCTTCAATTGGGCGCACTGTATGCCGATCAGGGTAGATTACAAAGAGCCCTGGCAGCGTACAAGGAAGCCCTGCAGTCCCTACCGGATCACTATCCACCTCAGGTTAGTAGTTCACCGCTTCCTCTTTATTACGTCACTACGGCGGAATAACTTGATGCGCGCGCGAGAGAACTATGAATACTTAGAGCAGGTATAGTGAGTGCCTGCCTTCGAAGCCACGTCTTCGGTTGGCTTCGAGCGATTTTATGCAGTTTCTCTTCCTCTCCGTTTCCTCTTCCTGTCTTTCTCTTGCTTCTCTCTCTATTTCTATCTCTATCTCTATCTCTCCGAAAATTAGGTATAATAATATCCATGTCGACAGAGCACGTATCGATTATATATCGGTACAACTTGTATGCGCTAACATAATTTGATTATACCATAACTTTGCGCTAGAATTTAATTACACTTATCAGATGTCAATGAGCGGAATTGAATTTATAGAGAAACTTGATAAAATTATCGATTAAGATTGACAGAAGAATAAGAGGTTTTGAAATACGAATCTATTTTATTTTTCGACAAGAAATATTATCGTACAAATACCCTGGCTCGCAGACGCGACAGTTAACTACAAAAACGATTGCCATGAATCGTTCTGCCTCTCTTGGTCGATTGCACTCGGTCGATTAACAAACCGAGGACGCGGTAAACCACTCCGAGCGATACATCGAGAGCGGTCCGTAAGAAAGTAATCAACTCGAAACAGATTTCTGATGTTTTCGTCGGCCGACCCTTCGATTACTAATTGCTTTCCAAGATTATTGCTGCCTCCGGTTCACCCGAGGCAATTCAACGTTCTCCACTCAATCATCGTCTGCACCACGTAAAGCGATATACTCTTTGGTTCACTTGTTCTTTCGTTCAGCATGACGATCAGAAAGAAAGGAGAAAAGTGTATTTTCATGCTGTGGAGCACTTTACGTAAACTGCATTACAATAGAACAGCTAGAAATCCATTCCATTTAATTGTTATGCTGTTTTTAACTTTATACGATAAAAATTAAAACTAAAAGTTAATAGCAATTGAAAATCAATACCAGAAAATTGAATTGGAAGCAACATGACATAAAGAGAGTATATTGTTTTAAATAAAACATTCTAAAGAGAGGGAA